GTTATCTGTTTACTGTATTTACATTTTACAGAATTCTACATCAATACAATGCCTAAACTGTTCACTATGGCTTGTTTGATTCTTGAGGAATTAGCTGCCAAGAAACTTCTAACTGTACCAATTAGAAAAATGCCTTAACATCTCCCCACCAACCCCAAAGCTGCAGCAGTTCCTATCCAATTTATACTTACAATTACCTCTGGAATCAGACAGCAACTTATGTATCTTACACAGACATTCTGAGTGCCATGTTTGATTTTATGTTTTAATGGCAATGTCTATAAGGAGTTTAGGGTCCTGCGTTGTAGCAACGTGTAGTTTGGAGTTGGTCCAATGTTTAGGAAGAATATGTCACCTCCAAAACGCGGGGCTCTCTCCGAACTACACGTTGCTACAACTCAGAATGCTGTACCCTTCATTCCAAGTACCAGCCGTAGCCTCCTCACTGTCGCCATGCAATTCAGAAGTATCAGCAAATGCAGAACAGGTAACTCTCAGTTCTCAGTTCCTACACCTAACTCCTATGTCAAACCAAAACCAACTGTTATCCGCTCATGAGTGTGTATTCCCTGTATGTGCAATTACAATGTATACTCTCTAAGCGAACAAGTCTTCGGCTAAGATCTTCCATAGGACTATGCCTGTAACAACGAAGATTTCAGTCTTCTGGGATGTGACACCATGTAGTCTGGTAAAATGTTACCAACATCTCTGAGGTATGTGAGGCCTCCATTTTCAGGGTCTTATCACTTTACATGTTCCTCCAAAGTGGTGGTAACATTCTACAAGTCTACATGGCCTCACATCTAAGAAGACAACAGTTTTGCAAGTTACCAGGTGTTTAGAAAAGCCCACTGTCGATTAATCCAAACTGTCACATGCTGATACTGTATGCAGATATGAGAGCCACAGTTTACAGGATGAGTTTTGGGAAAGAGATATCATTGGCTGTACTTTATTCGACAGAAACTAGCAAAAGGGAGGTAAGGTGCAAGCATACAGAGTCCATTTTACATATACACAAAAACTTTACCAAACGTTTGTAACTTCTAACACTTCTGTAAGTCATACATGAAAGTGATTTAGACCAATCGAAGTGGAAGCCGATATAATGCTTTAGACAGGTTTCATTATGGAACTCCCACATCACACTCCATCAAAATGCATGTTGCCTGCGAGAACTGCAACATACAACAATGGGAATATAGACACAGTTCTGTCACAGAAAATGCTAAATTTTCTGAGCTACGAATATCAGCTTGGTCATGCTAGTATTAATGACCTGGGTNGATATATTTGCAAGAGGAACAGTTTCTGTCAATCACATTGAACCTAAAATTGTTAATAATATTTGATAATACTCCTAATATTGCGTGTGTGTATGTACGTAAAGTTTAAATTAAATTTGCTTAGTGGGGGGTGGAGTCCAAATGGGTCCACTCAGCACAACGTCCACTGATTGGCCTATTGTAGCCTGCCCTGGGTGATTATGATGATGGAGAATTTGGTAGAATGAAGATTGGCAGGGGAAACCTAAATACTGAGAAAACCCACACCAGCGCCACTTTGTCCACCACAAATCCCACTTGACCAGCCCCTGGCTCGAACCCGGGCCTCCGTGGTGGGAAGCCAGCAACTAACCACTTGAGCTATGGCACAGCCTGTGTATGTACGTATATTGGTCTTGTTTTATTTTCCTCTCCTGTTAACTTTAATTTTTCTTGGAATGATTATCAATTTATTGCCATTATATAGACCCTCAAATTTTGTGTTCTGTTTTTTAATTATTTTTGTGTATTTCTATGTACTTGTGGTAACCTTTTAACTGGCCTCTGTGCTGTTAAGTTTGCATGCAAATAAACATGAACTGAATTATTATTATTATCATCATGAGTGTGAACAAATTTCTTCACTCGTGTATTCCAGAACAAAGAGGAAGATATGCCACTTTCTGATGCAATAAGAGCTTCAGAGAATTTGTCAATTTAACAAAGAATTACAAGTCTTACAAATTCTTATGAGGCCTCTTTCAACTACATTAATGCAGCCAGGGAATTACAAATAGCCTACCTCAACCCAGTACAAAAGGCTAAATCTCTTTTTCCAGGTTAATTTGTGTTGTGCCACTTTTCTGGTACACCTTAATGAACCACACTGACGAAAATGGAGCCACACAATTCATTAATGGTATACTAAGAATTTTTTCCACGAGTGTTTGTGACATACCACTTTTTTGATATGTCTTAGTACACTACTGATTTAAATAGAGCTGTTTCCACACAGTGACATGAATGATCAGTGGTTTGTTAACATATTTGCTAAGAAACTTATGAATGGTCCCACAGGTGTAAATTTGGTACTAATATTAAATTACTAAATCTTGATTTATATTGTAACGTGGATGGCGCAACAGGAAGTATGGTTCATGTGAACTATGCGTTTCCACGAGTGATGTCACAAACCCCCACTCCTCCCATCATTATGCAATGTTGGGTAAACACCCCTCCCCGCTACGTTGTGGCATCACACAACAGGCGAGTTTGTGCAGCGACTATTGCTAGGTAATGCGAGGTAGAAACACCTGACAACAATACCTGATATATGTTGCCAAGCAGCAATGTGTTCTCTATGTTGTCCGTAAGTAAAAAAAAAGTAAAGCTATCCCTGTAACAGGCCGTGAAGGCCCATAGGGTTGTGAGACGTTAACGGTCCCACATTACCTTGACAATCGGCTCAAAGATGGCGGTAAGGTTGTCAGCCCTACGCGCCAGCTGTGCTTTACTGCCCAGGAAAATTATTTAATTAATTCCTGGTACTCATTTCTGTTAGAGGCTGAGTAAACACCAGGGCCTAGTGCAGCCAGAGCGATTAGGTCAATTGAAAAGAATCCAATGACCTCATCGGGACTTGAACCTGCGACCGTCCGGCTTGCAGCAGTGCCTTAACCACTATGCTACCGCATACTCCCTATGTTGTCCGTGTCAAGCCTAAATAAGGAGCAGCGAACACTCGATACGACTCAACTCGTAGCTGCTGGACTTCAACTCATACTGGATACTAGTAACTCAATACTCCATTCTCCTGAATCAAAGTCAAAGCCAAAGTCACATTGCGACTGACTTGAGTCGTATCGAGTGAATGCCAGTGGCTACAACAGAAGTAACTGTGATACTGCCGATCACAGTAGGTGTGAAACTGTAAACTGTGTAAATGTAAGAGAAAATGTGCAATAAATTCACTAGATCAAGAACGGTGTGAAGTTATGTGTCACGTTACACACCCAACATGTGACAATATGTTTACATTTATACTGAAGATTAATCTATCCTATTAATTAGTACAGTAAACCACAATTACTTGGCATGTATAGATAATGGGGTCTGCCAGTTACATGAATCTTCTGTTTTCAAGAGAAAAGTTCTTGCAGAAACCTAATTTATAATCAAAATATCACATTTTTGCTTTAGTTCCTGCATGGACTATTCCCATACAATACTGCAGATTGACGGGTGAAAGATTTTGAATTCACAAGATCAAAAATTCAACTAGCCTCTGCTGAAATGGCATCTGCATAATGGGTAGCGCTGCTAGTGGAAGCTGGGAGGACTATTGAATAGTGAGTGAAAATACACTCATAGTTGTTTTAATGACTTTATAATTTTCTTAGAAATTTTTGCCAGCTGAATGAAAATCATGGATGCCTGGATACCAGACAAACAGGAATTTACTGTACTTGTAAATTGGTAACTTCAGCTCAGATGGTATACCTACTTTGTTTCATTCTGGTCCGTCACAATAACAATTACAATTATAAATCACTCCGTCCAACGTGACCTGTAAGTTTTTTACTACATAAAAACTTAACACCCTTACATGTTTCGGTCTCTGTGGACCATCCTCAGAGTGTGTTCAACACTTCTGAACAGTGAAAACAGCACAGCAGCCACAAGCAAACCCTGGACGATATAAAGAACCTCCACATCAAGATAGCCAGGTGGCACAATATCTGCCCCATATAAGAGAGATGATGGGAGGACGAACACGAGCCTGCATGGTTTACGAATTTTAATTATTGACAATCTAAAAAACTTTTAATTAGCATCAAGGAATTTTATACAATTTTTTAAAAAACTTTACATTCCCAGAAACTGCTGTGTTTGTGAAATGTTCTATTCTGTGTACTATGTATTGTAGCATATAAGTGTACATACTTTACATGTAAACAAATTATGTGATGGTGGTTTCCTATTTGTAGTGATGTTTGCCCTCTGAAGATGGTCCACAGAGACTGAAATATGTAAGGGTGTTAAGTTTTTATGTAGTAAAAAACTTACAGGTCACATTGGACGGAGTGATTTATAATTGTATACCTACTTCTTTCTATGGATATACAATAATATTTTCATTCTGGTACACATTCACAATGTACACATCACGGAGAGCAGAAATCAGCACAAAGTTCTGGCATCTTAAGAAGAACAGTTCTTTATAGTTTCTCATAACGAATTGGCACAGGCAAGATGGTAAAGCCGTAAAATAATGTCCTATCTTCAAATTAAGATTCTTGTGTCACAGATGGCTCATCTTCACGGCAATGTGGGATCCAAGAATCTTCTAAATGCTGTTACCTTCTTCTACCTGACATAGTCTTCTCTTGATGAGGTTTCCAAA